GTCCACGGGTAACCTGTTAGGAGTGGGTCTGAGACAGACAGCCGTCTTTCTACTGCGGGATGAGGCTGACTGCGGAACGCAGGAGTTTGGGAGTTTCTCATGCAATGTTCAAAGTTTGACAAAGCAGAGAAACGTCCACCGCGGAGGGGAGAAAGGCGGAAAAAAAAAAAAAAACGCTCATGGCGCGGCGGGGAATTAACGAATTCCATAAAACGAGTGAACTCGTTTGGGGCTTTTTGTTGCCGCGGAGGTGAGGGAGCCTTATCTATGTGGCCGAGTCAGCCAAGATTAGAACAGGCGATATGCTAAAAAGAAACGCTTGCATATGGTGGGTAGATTAAGGACAAAGAATCTTTTTGTCATGGAAATGGATTTTTTTTTGTTTTGTTTACTTCATCACATAGAATTTCTCACACTTGGTTTGTTTTGTATTGCCCTCAATGACTACATGATCAAATGAATGGATTTATTTCTGCCGAATGAGAAAGACAGTCTTTCCTTCAAAAGAACGACATTGCATCCCAGTGAGGAATTTTAAAGCTTTATTATTGTGGCGCCTGAATAGCTTAAAATCGGCTTTCACAGCCGCCCCAAAATGCAACAATGTAAATACTTCCCAGCTTTGTAGGGTCGTTATCAAAATGTGCAATGTCTCTTTTTATTAAAGCATATTTTAATTAATAGAGTAAAACCCCTTGTATTTAACAATTAACAAGCAGAGGCACCGCTATTCATTTTTAATTTCACTTCAGAAAAGTGAGCATGCGGAACTCAATGTTGTAAACATGTGGAGGGATATGTGGCCTATATTTGAAAAGCTACGATGGGGTGAATTATTTACACGTTTTATTTTGAATTCCCCTCGTTGCTGCTTAAATGTATTTAGAAATGCATCATATTCAGCCCCCTCCATGGTAGAATTAAAGTTTTTCCCAAGCCTGTGTTTTTCACAAGCATCCAGGGTTGTGATCAAGATGTTGCCACAGTTCCTGATCATATTTTGCAACAGGCCAAAAATAGCTCGTCTGGGGGCTTAGCCTTAGCCAACACCATGTGTCTTCATGCTTATTTGAAGGATAGTTTAAGGCAAACTATTTTTTAAAAGTTCTCTCCGATTTAATTATTTGAAGCAGATTGTTCACAGAACATAAAAGGTACTCCGTTCCCTGCCATGTCAAGGAATGCTCGGATGTATATTGCTCTGTCCTACTCATCATCCTAAGACAACTAAGTTTTTTTTTTAATTTTTTAAACGATAAATGGTTGTAAAAACTAAATTTCTCCAACCTGAATCAGATCTCCTCAAAATTTTAATTTTGTTAAATGCAGTTGAAATAAACAGAACCATGCATGAGGTTGTAAGTGAGCCAAGTTAGTTTACAGTGTTTTAGAAACAATGTAAATAATTCCTTTGTATCACATGGGGAGTGACATAGTAATTAAAGCAATGGGTTTACCTATGTGTGGTAAAATCGAAGGCTATCCATAATGTCGTGCAGAACAAATATTATATGCAGAATTGTTTGGTATAATGTGGGGGGGACGGAGATGCACAGTCGAATTAGTATACAGTAAAAAGCCCAGATATCTTAAAAAGGGATTATGACATTTTTCAGGCTTTGGCTTATAGGCAAGCAATGAAAAGACACCATACAAAAACAGCTTCGATGCTCTTCAAGTCTTATCCTTGCAAGAATGAAATATGATGTCGTGTCTAGAATGAGAAAAAGTAAGGATGATTTATGTGGAGTTCTAAAGTTATTCTTTTGTAAAAGTGTAATTTAAGATCATTGAGACTTACATTCCTAATAGAAGTTGTCTTTTAAAAGTGCTTATTTGCAAATTATTCCATTCCTATTTTGTAAGTAAAAGTAAAAGTAAACCTTTGGGATTCGGTTTAATTTATTCCACCAATAATGAAATCCTTGATGCCCGCTGAATATTTTTGTTCTAAAAAAAAAATCTAATTAAAACTTCCAATGACAGTTATACTCCCACTAAGAACTTTAAGAGGTATAGTGTTGCTACTCCTTACCGTATAAAATACAATTTAAAAGATGCATTTTGTTGTCGTTAGAAAAAAAATGTATTACAGAAAGAACAAAGGGAGGTTATAATTTAAAACAATTCACCATCCTGTATTTTGTTTGCTGCACTATTCACTTCAGAGTGTGTTTTTATTTTCTGCCCACTTACAAGTACATGGCTATCTCAGAAATCCTTCTAAATGTGGTGAGCATGTGATTAAGAACTTCCCGGTGGTATTCACAAGCTGGGTTTAAATTCAGGGAAGAAGGCCCCCAGTGCTGGGTGCGGGATCTCTTTCTTTTATCTGTGTCTGCATGGTCTGCCTTCAGTGCGCCCCCAGCACACTCCACACATTTACAATTCAGCATTCCAAAAGGAACAATGCAGAAGCACTTTCTAACAGTCACAGGCAGATTGCTTTCTCTGAAACATGAAAGGTAGAAAGTAAGCTAGTGGGGGGGGGAAGGAAAGTAAGAATTTGCAAACATTTCTTTGAAAAATAACATTCAAAACTTAGCCTATTTAAAAATGCACATTTCCGTGATCAACAAAAAAGCCTGCCAATTAATTCCCCACCTTACAGAAAAGGAGCTGATCGTGTCACAGAGTTAGGGAATCTGTGTGTACAATACTTCTCTTAAACTTCCCCGGCATAGGCAGGATCCAGTATTTTTAGATCTCTTCGGGAGCTGTAAAGGAAAAAGGTACGGGTTAACAGCAGGAATTATTTAGCAAGCTGATTATTTTTTGTATACAAGATGATGGCAAAAGTGGGTCAGATTTCATTTTCAGCTGCAATCTCTAAGAAGCTTTGCCCTCATCTCCAGGTAGACCTAAGAACATTTTCTTTTGGGGGGAATTTAGCCAAGGGACAGCCACGGGTTTCTGTTCTGTGTACTGACCCTTAACTGGAATTTAGCTTTCTTAAGTGTAAGTATTGGCTCAGGCATCTGTTGAAGTAAAATAAAAACCTTTTTAACAGCTGATGAGACTATGCACCGTCTTTTAATGCTGCAAAATAGTTTCAAGAGACATAATTTTTGAACGATATGACAACAGAAAGGATTGCTTGTTGTTTTTGTTAGTTTTTATTTTTTTACATGATTTCTTGACTAGTTCCAAGAATAAGACCCGTATATCTTAGGCAGGCTCATGAAGATAATGAGCTAATTCTGCTACTGGTGGGACAGGTTTGTAATTACAGCATATGTTCAGTGGCTACACATTTCATAAAAAATCAGACATAAATACAAATTTTGTAAAAATTGAGTGCTTTAAGATTACTTTCAGTAAACTTTTTTTTAAACTCACCTTGGATTTTTCTCATGTGATTTTAACATATTTATTATTTAAAATACAGTTTGTTGTGTGACTTCCAAGCAAACAAGGTAAATCTTGTCCTAGAAAGTGTAAAATATTAATTGTGATAAAATAATGGAATGGTCTCTGTTGATGGTAGAAATGAAGATTGATTTGTTTCTTAATTAAAGGGAAGAGTTCTCAAGACCAAGACTGTCCAGCAAAGGGATTCAGCCAAGCCGGTGTGATGTTTCCCTCCGCGGGCCAGTCTTTTTCAATCACCTTCAGATTAGTTATGCTCACTCTCTAAAATCCTACTCCCTTTGCCTTCTTTGCGAGTGAGAGCAGCCAGCCGGCGTGGACAGGCTTTTTGTCTATGGGCTGTGAAAAGTGGGCTGCACGGTACTGGCCAGCCTCCGACCCACTCTCCCCAAAGGTGGGTAGTTAGAAGTGCTTTGACATGCCGTGCTGATTTAACCTTTGCCTGCTTGGCCCTGCCAGGGGTGGCCACTAGATGTCAAGCTCATAATACAATTAGTGCATCTGTGCTGTTGACCTTGGCAACAGGGCCCCGCGCTGCTCTGTGAAGTGTTAACACTGCCTGTGAGTGTTAACTGGGGACCCTCGAGCTGCTTCGTGCTGCAGGCCCCTCGGAGGCCATCTAGTTCAGCATGAGTGTTGCCAGTCCCTGAGCAAGGGAGAAAGAGGTTCTCTTTTGTGGTGTTCTTGTATCTTGAACTGTTTAATTAACCCTGAAGGTGCTGTGGCACTCTGTCTTCATTCGTGAGCTCTCCTGGTCCCCTTTGGGACAGGGGCCTTCCCAACGCTGTGTGGTCAGTCTATTGTGTGGGCCGCATACACGCAGAGTACTGGCTCCAGCTGCCCAGCCAGGGCTTTTCCAGGAGGATTTTTTGCATGTGTGCAAACTTTGCCTGTAGAAATAAAACCGGGCCATGGAGTGATGACAAATCATAGGAATGATTTCACCATCTGACCCTGGGGCCAGCAGGCTGGTGGCCACAGCCAACTAGCCTCAGATCTGGACACAGCGTGGCTCGGACGCCTCCAGAGCTATCTGGGCCGAGGCTTTTGTGTGTCTAAGTAGTTTTGCATGTTTATTTATTTATTTATAAGCATAGTGGATGGAAACACAGCCAGTGTCTGCACTAGCATGTCTCACTCTACATGTCACATAGGGAGACCACATTCTCTGGATTTAAACCATCCACATCCTAACCAAAAGGGACTTGATAAAACCTTGTTTCTGCCCCTCATCAAATTTTGATAGAAACTGTTTCCGTTGGCTGACAAATGTCAGATCTGTAATTCCGGTAGCTAGAGATGGTGATGTATGTGTGCTCTCTGCAAGCGGGGTTTCAGTATAACCTCCACGGGCAAGAACGGTTGTGCATCTGTGACGTGTGACACACACCTTCTGATTCCAGGCCACGATCAGGCAGATGGCTGCAGCGAGTGGTGGGTCCTGCTCCCATACATGTGTGCCCAGGAAGGACACCATGTCTCCTCCCTGGGTTTCACAGCCCAGATCACAGATTGCATATGTTTAAATGGGAGACAGTTGGCGACTGTGCCACAGGTGGTCGTGACTTAACAAATTTGAGACGTGGGCCACTGTGAGGCGCGGGAGCAGGCGACCAGGCCAGCTATTGAGCATGGCAAGAGTGCCCTCCACCGTCCATCGCCGAGCGCGCACACCAAGGTCTCCGGGAAGGGACAGAAAATTTTTCTATTGCGTCTGGAATTTCTTCTACATTGTTAAACACAGTAGGGGTCTCTATTTGTCTCCTCCTGTTTCACAGCTTGGGCTCAGTATGTGATAATTCATCTTTCTTTATGGGATTCAAAGCTATCATAAGGAGTTAAAAAGAATTAATTTGCAAGAAAATAAGTGTCTCCTAACAATTTAGAAAAACTTGAAAAATGCTTTCTAGATTTTTCAGAGATGGAGAGGCCAAGAAGAAAGTACAGTTTTCCTCTTCTAAAAACCCACATGCCATTTTAAAGTTATAACTGGAGAAGGTAGCGTCCCTTTCCTGGTCTGAATGAGTTCTGCTTCTCCTTTTGTTAATTGTAATGAATTAAAAAATATGTGGCAGAGTAAAGGTAAGCTATTCAGAGGCTCTACAGAATTATAAAGTGCCTGTCTGACTGCTACTTTGTAAGTGGTTGTTTATTTGCAACACCACTCCTTGAAGAGAGAACATTGGAAGGCCTTGCTGAGAACTGTAGTTTGAAATTTTTTAAGAAAGCATTATGTCTTAAATGTTCTTATGTATATTTTAAAAAGATAAAAATGTTCTTATGTATATTTAAAAAGATTATCAAGGCTGAACCTTCTGCCTGTGAAGACATAAAAAACACAGATATTCTGTAATAGACCAGGAACTAAAGCTGGGTGGGGGGAGACGACATAGGAGAGCCAGTCCTAAGAATAGGAACATACTAAATGCTCTGTGTGGTTTTAGTGAGGTTTTATTTTTCATGTATTTTTAAAATTATCATCTTTGAAGCTGCCCTTTTGTTAGAGATTTTCTCTAAAAGGCTGGTGTGCCCTTTCTCCCCTCTTCTGTACAACTAAGAAACTGCTCAAGAATGTATGAAGTAATAGAGAAACCCTGCACATCTTAAGTCTAAATAGCAAACCTTTGGTATCGCTGTAAATTCAGCAGAAATAACGATATTTTGTAGCCTCTTTAAAGCAGGTGTCCAACAGGGCACCCTGAATTTGATACATATTTGAGATCAGCTAAGGAAGGTTATCCCCAAAGGAGTTTCTAGTACCTTTTTCACATTCATATACAACCAGTACAGCAAATTCTGTGGGACTGTCCAAAAGTAACCTTGGTCAAATTCTTAACCAAGAATGGGAGAGTGTTGGCTGAACTATGTTATGCGAAGAATTGGTTGGCATTTTTCTTGACTTGTTGTAATGTCATCTTTGTGCTCTACAAAATTCCTGCTAGCCACTTGCCTGTTTATAGTTTCAGGTCCCTTAGTTGTTGGACAGTCAGTATGCAAAAATTAAATTACTTTGACTTTAATGATAATGTTTGCAATGCTTGCTTTTTAATCCCCCATTAAAGAGAGAAAGAAAATGAAAGTTGCATAGGAAATACATTTCTCAAACTTGTCACTGATATGCTATTGTTTACAGTGCCTCACAGACATGGTTTTGCTGTGATATAAAAATCTTAAGCCATATTAACTAAAGGAAGTAGTAGCAACTTCGATTTTTGGAGCATAGAGGTCAGTTCAAAATGAAAGTTCAGTTAGAAGATGGTTAACTACATTTGGGTCTGATATCATATTGGCTTTAAAAGATGGCATGACTAAAGAACTTTAGAAGGTATATGATAAAATTGTGAACTGCATTGAGATTTTCCCATATGGATTTTCTTGTTAGAGAAAGCATTTAAAAGTGAGTAAATAATGCCAGATTAGCACATGCACCCTTTAGTACACACAATGGATGATCATCACCAGAAGAGCTGTGGAAGCCATTTATAATAACTTACTTCGATTCTTTCCCTGTCTTCAGAATGCAGCAGAGGTCAACACTTTCACTCTGCATGGCACTAAAATGCCTTGCTGCTTCTCCACAGTCCTGTCCTTACCCAGATATGCCCACTTTGTTTATTTCGTACCAACAATTCAGTTGAAGTGCTTACTATTGTTATTTATTTAGCAGTCTTCAAGTATGCAGATTAAACTCCAGTTCCACATGTGATACAGTAGAGTTTTTTTTTAACCTGCCTTCCATTTCCTCAAGATTATCTTGTAAAATCCATCCTTGTCTCTGACTTTTATGGAATGTTAATCACATTTAAATTTTGATAGAGAAACAGTCATAGCTCGAGCCCATGAGAGTAACAAAAATTAGGTGATCGTGTTATTGGTATTTTATACAGACCCCAGAAGAAATTATATATGGTGATTTTAATGTGTCACCCAAAATCAGCACTCTGAATTGCATTAAAGAAGTTTTCCCTCAATTGTAGTTTTTAAGGCATGTTTTAGTCAAAAGTCAAATTTACTATGGAGTTTTGCTTATAACAACCCACAGTTGTCTGTTTCCTTGGGCTTATTAACATAATGAACTGTTAACAGGTCCAGATAGGCTGCCACTTTTTACACAATTTCCTTCTTCAATTTTGAAGGAATGTAAGTGGAAGATTACTTTACTTTGACAAGAATATCTTCACTGTATTCCAGTAATTATCACTTATAACTGCTTTAAACAAAATGACTTTTATTATTTGGCAGAAATATTATTACTATGCTTAAATATTCTAAGTACAGTTTCTACAATGGAGAAGCAGCTGTAATTTAGCAAACCTTGCAATGGGAAAAAATGAAGTTACCTGTGGGAACTCCTCCCAGCATCCACGGAAGTGAACCCTAAAAATACTTAACACATAAAAACTAATGGGCATGTAAAAATGCAAATCATTAAGGTAAATAGAGATTTGTTTGGGTCAAGACCTTTGAAAAATGCACAAGATCTTTGTGAAAACAGAAGTATTTCTCTATGTCACACATTATAGTTTGTGACAAAATCTGTGAAATGTTCATTTTAAAGGGATAATGTATTTAGTTACATAAGTTAATTCAACACTGACCTCACTCTAGGTGATCCACAAGTCACCTAATTTTAAAGCACTTTCTCAGTGTAAAATTTTTAATGTATGTATTGTGTGAATGTTTTTGTGTACCATATAAGTTATACATGTTATAAGGAGTTAAGCTTAGAATATATTTCAAGGAGTTAGCATTATTTAATTTCTTGGGATCTTCCTTTTTTAAAAAAGTACTATAGCTTCAAAACATTGGAAAATAACTTTTTAAAACATTCTATTCTTTATGAGCTATAATAGTTATTTCTGTGTATATATTATATGGCTTAATGCAGATAAACTTTTTTTTGTGGTCCACTCAAATTTTATTTAGAATAGATACATAAGTTTTATAAAGACAAACTTTTTTTAATGGCCACTTAGATTTTTTTTTTTTAAGTATATAGGTCTACAGAAGAACATTCCACTTTTAAAAAGCAGTTTTCAGGTAGAAATTCTTTGAATTTTGTGATCATCTTAAAAATACACAAATAAAATTTGATATAGCCCTTATCTCTTACCAGTCATTAAATTATTTACCTGAAGATTTTAGCCTTTTTTTTTTTGTCCTGCTCCATAACCTTTTCAGGTTTAAAATTAGATTTTGCATACACTGAGCAAAGTTGAGTGCTGTGAGTATTTATTTTGCTAATGCGCCTATCTGCAGTATAAATCAGCCGTGTCTTTGCTTGCAGCTATAGTCAACCTCATTACAGATACCTATTACATTCTTCCCTCCCATACAGTAATGAGACTCCTTCCTGCAGTCTGATCTTCCGCACTGAATTTAGTTTAAAAGTCTAGCAGGCTTTATGGGCTGCGAGCTCTAACTTCTTTTCCCCTTCAGATGGTTTAGCCAGTTAAGAAAATGCTAATTGAACACTGCTAATAATTTTTTAAAGGCATGTATAAATTACCTGGAAATAATGGCCTTTGGAGTCACAGACTAGCCTCAGAAATATTTTTATTTTCCAGTAGAGGAACTTTTTACAGAACATTTTTTTTCAAGCATCAGAATTCTCTGTTAAACTCAGTGCTGAACTATTCTTTTTTTTCCTCTCTCTTTTCTTTTTTTTTTGGGGGGGGTGTGTTGGAAATCCCTAAAAGAAAAAAATGTGAAAACTGTGTTGCAAGTACGTTTGTTGATGTTGTAATAGTAAATTATTTCCTGGGACACAGACTTGAAGACGTTTTTTGCTCGCACTCAGCTATGCACTGTTTAACAAAGAGCTGATCTGCCCCTGTCATCTGTTCCTGTAAGCTGATTTGTGGCTGTCACTCCATCCGCAAGTTGACAAAAAGCAGTCAGGAGTCAGTAAAGACCGGGCCGGCACCCAGAACCTGGGTCGTTCCTGGGAATTACTTTTCACCCCAGCTACCCACAAAGCAGCAGCAAGAAACACTGTTGAGCTGACTTCACGCTGCTGCGTGGCTATTTATTTGATCAGGTGTGAATCGGGCTGTTCCTTGAACACGGCTGTTATTCGGCACAAGAGGGTTAGGGGGAGACACAGGAAGTGGCGCTGCCTGTGACAGTAATTAAACATGTGTAACCAATTAGAGGGTTTTCCTCCATGGCACAAGCATATAATTTACTAAGTCTTCTATGAGAATAGATGAAAATAGGTACAAAAAGTGTGTCTGACTTCAGCATTCTCATGTTAAACATGTCAACATAAATGAACTTTAAATATATAATTTCTAGTTTGTTGTGAACAAACCACTGAACTCGATTGGCTGGTAACAATAACATGTAATTTCAGTTCATCTTGCCAAGAAATATTGCATCTGACAGGGCCAGTTAATTGTATTAAACATGATTAATTTTAGGTCTGGGCTGGATGGATGGATACTCATCCGGCAAATCCTAAAAACTGCAGAAGGGTGGCCTGTGCGTGAGCGAGTCACGAAGGCCTCTGAGGATGCGGGTTGATTTGCTGCTCCAATGAGGCCGGGGGGGGGGGGGGGGGGGGCGTATTGCTTTTCCGAGCAGACATAAGAACTGCTTCTATTTTTCTGTTACTTGTACAAATGAAAGGATTTAGCTGAAATTTACTACATGAAACAAATGCCTATTGACTCTAAAAGTTCTGTGGAATGACATTAAGCCCGCCGTGTCCGGCGCTGCGTGGAAGACAGCAAGCCTGCGGGTCCGAGCGCCCCAGCCACGTGCGCCCAGTCTGAAAGATTGCAGATTAGTTTAGCAGCGTTAAGCGAACTGGCAGAGGCATCTCTAATTCTGCTGGAAATGAGGAGGCCCGATGGTAAAGGGGAATCCTAATGAGCCCGTCGAAGGCCGGCTTTGTGCCCGACAGACAGGGTGGCCGCGGCTCGTATGAAAATATTGGAAATCGATGGCTTCTATGGAATTTCATTAAGAGGCAGGATCCCCCATTGATAGGGCCTCATAATTTGATGGATCGTGCTAAGAAAATGATTAGCTGGCTAGAAGGAGCCGTGGGACACGCGCGTGCGCGTCAGGGGCGTTGCGGTGAGGGGACTGGCTGGAAATAAAAAGCATTGATCCACCCGCGAGCGTCCTCGGGCCACGCACCCTGACGCCCTGTCTTGTCTTGCAGCCGCCCCTGGGGAAGGCGCCGACGACGCGGACAGCGGCAGCGATAGCCGCAGTGGCGCCGAGGAGCCCAGCGTATGCGAGAAATGCTGCGCCGAGTTCTTCAGCTGGACGGAACTGCTGGCTCACCGCCGCAGCTGTCCCAAGCTGCCGCCCGTGCTCATCGTACACGACGACGGGGCAGCCCCTCCCGCTGCCTCCTTTCCCGAGCCCTCCCCCGCCAGCT